CTCCGGGCCTGGCGGTGCTGGGGGCGGGGGGGCACCTGGCCCGGTCCCGGGTGTGCTGGGGGCTTCCTTGCCGGCTGCCTTTGCGGGGGGGCTCAGCAAGTGGCATTGAACAGAGGGTTGTGGAGGGGCCCCGTGGGCAGAGAGAGCCCAGGGGAAGGGGCAGGGGGCCTGGCGCAGATGAAGAGGGAGCCCCTCCAATACACCCCAGCAGCAAATCCCCCCCAAAAACCTGTCTGCATTTACCTCTGGCTTCTGCGCAGACCAGGGCCTGCAGGCCCTGAGGGCAGGGAGCCAGGCCCCGGCGCCCCCTCCCTTTGCATCCCCAGGCCCCTGGCAGGCTGGGATGCGGGCGCCGGGGGCTGCGGGCCGGCGGGCCGGGGCCCACCTCTGCACAGCCCGGGTCCTGCGGAGCCGTGGTGGAAACGGCCGGCTTTGGGACCAGAGCAGCCGGAGAGGGTTTATTTCACGTTAAAGAAGTGGCACAAAGGGAGGGGAGGGGAACCAAAGCAAACCCAGGGGGATCTTTGCAGTCCAAGCGGGCAGGGAGGATTTTTTTTTTTTTTTATTTCTTGTCTCGAGCCAATTTGGCTCCCGATTATATCCACTGAGCAGAACTCCATCGTTCAAATCCGCAGGGCGCTACCAGCAGCACGCATCCTGCCTCCCCGACTCTTCCTCCTGGAGATGCCGCCCCAGCACACCCGGGACCCCCCCAGGTACTCGCACAGAAGCGAGGTTGTTGAGGGGCTCGTCTGAAAGACCTGGGTACAGGACAGGACCCACCCGACTGTGGCAGCGATCCCCAAACCCTGCTGAGCCTTTGAGGGGGAGTGGCCGCTCTCTTCCAGGTTCAGACCGCGCTGCCAGGGCGAGCCGGCGCTGCCAGGGCTCGAACCTGCCTCTCCCGGGGTTCTGCCAGCCCTGCAAAGCCGCCCCTGTCTGCCCATGCGCTGCTGCTAAAAAGCCAGGCCGAACAAAGGGATTTAGACACTAATGACATGGACGCGCGACCTCGTGGCATTTTCAAAAGCACCTGGGCACCCACTGAAATCAATGGGAATTAACAGCCCGGGCGCTTCGGTAAATGTCCCTCCGTGTCTGTCCTCACGTTCCAGCTTCTAAATACCTTTGTAAAGCCGGCTCTTAATCTCCTCTGCTTCTCGTGCAGCGGGGGGGTTGGTTTTCCCTGTAGAGCCGCACTGGAAAGCACCCTGGATGTGGTGTGTGGATGGGTGGATCATGGTGGTTATTGACTTAGAAAATCTGTTTGCAAACCAGGGTGACCCCCCAGGTGTGTCATCCCCCCCCCTCAAAAAAACCAAAGCAAGGATTTTTTTGATTTTTTTTTCGTGCTCCTGTCAGCAGCCTCCTCCTTTACAGCCAACTCCTCACGCTCTGTCATCAAGGTTATACATCTCTTTATGTGACTCCCATCGAGATATTTCTCTATCAAGCCACCGTCAACCAATCTTTCTTCCTGTCAACATGAAGCTATCATAAAGCTGTCCACCTGTCCGTCAAGTTTATTTGTTTTCATTTA